CGTGACGCCGGGGCTCCCCAGGCCCTACCAGCACCCGTAACGGGAAACCAGCGACCGCTCGGCCTGTCAGTTCTTGCCTGTGGCAATAAGGACAGCCTGGGAATTCATAATGTTGGTGACTTCATCTGCCAGCTGCATTCACACATCTTTACTACCTGAATAACTGATCTCCGCTACTCCAAGGCAGCACTTTCTGGCGTACAGCACTTGGGAATAAATATTTGATCGCGCATACAACAGAAAAGAGCTCAGATGGTTTAAGGTGTGACAGCAGAAGTGTTTATTAAATTCCAAGCGAGAGCATTGCTGGACAGTAAAAGTTTGTCCCATGGTCCCTATCTCACAGGTGTGGTGATGAACAATAAAAGATCCTTTACAGGCAGAGGGGAGACAACCTCCCTCCCCCACAAAACCCAGGTCAGTTCTTCTGTTCATTAAACCCTCTGCAGGCAACAACCTATCTGTCCATGACCAGCCAGTCGCACACAAAAGAAAGGGAAGTACTAAATTACAAGCCAATTGTAAGTAGGCATTGATTGAAGTAACCAGAAGAGAGCTTAGTATTGTCAGAATTTCACACAACAGTAATAAACAATCTTCATTAAAAAATGATGCCTGCATCCCTAAGAAGCACAGCACATGCCAGGTTTCAGAAAAGAACATAAAGTTTCCCCCCGCCCCACACACTACTGAAGAGGAAAAAATGCTCATGATCTGTTTCTTTTACAGTTTAATCTTATTCACTAAAATCCTTCCCCCTCTAACTTCTGTATTTGTCCTAAGGAAGAAAGAAATGGACATCTCCTCCAAGTAGGAAAGGAAAAGGCTGATGGAAAACACAGATCAGACAACTTCTTTGTCAACACTTTCCTACTCTGCTGACAATGCAACAAAATCATTACCTGACTGATGGGTAAGAGTCAAAACCTCTTTGTATGAAGGAACAAACAAGGCTTTTCATAAACACCCACAGAGATGCACACACTTTTTTAACTGAGCAGGACTGAATTAACAGCTATGACTGAGCGTACCTGAGTACCTGAGCCCTTCAACACATTTGTTCCAGTTTAAGGGAAACGCTTGCCCTTACAGACTCAATGCAGCTGTGCAAGCAAATTTACTGTGATCAGGAACTGCTGCAAAATCCCTTCTCTAGAGGTTTTCTATTTCTGAAAGTTCAGAGCTGTTGTTCCATACAAATATCCTAACCATCCTACACCCTTTAATTTCTGCACAATTTATTAGCAGTAGAGTTCTATCCAGTTTGATTTTCAGGTATGTAACATATATGACATGCAGCATTCATCCACAGGTTACAGTATAAAAATTCAGAAAGGTGCCTGGAAATATTCAGTTACACATCTCATCTATGTTCAGGTTTTCTACATTAGTCTCCATCACTCTCTAGATATCCTCAGCCAGCCAAAAACCCGATCTAAAGCTAGTCGCATCAAAGAAAGGAACACCATTCAATGTATACAGGTAATGTAAAGTTTTCAAGTCATGCCTGTAGAGTGGTCTTCTGAAATAGAGCCAGCTCATTCTGCAAGCCATTTTTTTTTTTTTTTTTCCACACTACAAATTTCTGTCTCAGGCTTGGTTGGTTTGGTTGTGTCAAGAGCATGACCTTCAGCTGCAGCACCTCCTGCAGACAGGGCACTTGTAAGGTTTCTCTTCCTTCTCTGGTGCCTAATAAAGTCTCAAATGTACCCTGACTTACTAAGAGCTACCCCATCTTTGTTAAGCCCGATGCAACCAGCCTCAGTACTCCTTTGGAAGGATGGACACACAGACACACGAGTACACAAGCCTGCTTGCTACACACTGTGTATTTACTGTGTGTACAGCAGCGGTTCTTCTGCTGTATTATTATGAAAGGCTTCCTGCTTTATACAGCCTTAAACTCAGGGTTGTCCCTTTAACATCTCTAACTGCCAATCTGGAATAGCATCTGGAATTGCAGTGCATTTAATCCTTCAGGGTATATTCTCTCTCTGATGCATATAACTAAAACATGTGCATGGAGGGACAAATGTCCAGTAGCTTTAGGTAACTACATTTTTACAAACTTTTCTTAAAGATTCAATTTTTAAAAAAGCAACAAAAAGCACAGAGAAGAACCTTACAGCAGAATTCTAATTCAAGTTGAGATAACCGTATCGAAATATGCATTTTTTAAATGTATCCAAGTAATCTTTACAGATGATGCCATCCACCTTGAAAATGCTATCGCAAATTTTCATGATTGATTTTCATATATTAGTTTTTACTTTTTAAATGAAGATTTTTGCAAATGATCTTGTAAGAAAATATTGTCATTAGTATGCCATAGTTTTACACACACGTGAAAATCATGATAAAAAATTACACAAATGTCTTACTAAATGCAACACCAACGGGGGAGAAGGAAGGAAGCTACCAAGAACGGCAGAAGAATAATGGAAGATGATAAACATGTACTTGAAATCTTTTGATAGGAAGAAGTGATGGAGTTAGATAAGAGGAGGCGCCACGCTAGTTGTATCTCTAAGCAACAGGCAATCAAACAGCCAGATAAGCATCTTCATAAAGTGCAACAGTCTCGAATGCACGGGTCATAACTGAAGAATCACTTCCTGGTTCAGCTTAGGTAGTAAAAATTTATGACCTACTTAAAAAAAAAAAAATCCTTCAAACCTAAAAACGTATTTTCCAATAAATTTGTTTTCCATGAAGTATGTAAGCCATTTAGGGCACGCCTTGGTAATAGCAGGAAATGAGAATACTTACAGTAGTGGACTGTAGCACAAAAAATGCAATGTTGTACACGAACAGCATTTAAAATAAAATCTTTAGATTCGGAGCTGAGCTTAATGTAACTTTCTGCACATCTCAAAGGTGGGAAAGAAAGGAAGGTAAGCATAAAATACTCTTCTTGCCTTCACCGGGCTCTGTTACAAGAACAGCACAAGATCTCAAAAAACAGTGTATGTTTTTTTCTTGTCTCTCCTTTACGCTGTAGCGGAATTCACACTCCTATACCATCACATATAATCTGGCATATCTACCCTAAATTCAGACCAATAATTTCTGCATGGGAAAGGACGAGGATCGGCCAATATGAAAACTGCAAATAGCTGGTAAAGTCCCTGAATCAAAAATCAATTCAAATCCAAACTGTCTGGCAGTAAAGTTAAATAAAATACTGCTATCAGCATGTCCCTAACAAAATCCATGTATTGTTTATAAGAAACTTATGAGGTGTTGTAACAAAACTGAGTCACCGCTGTACGGTAAATATATTTTCAGTGTCATAACAATGTATACAATTGACTTTGGCAATTTTAATATGGACACACATGTTAAAGGCATTACCAACAGAGATTCATCACATTCACATGAGCCATTTCTTATTAAGGCCTCATCCACACTTCAGGAAAGGTTGTTTAGCATAGAAGAGGGACAGTCCTACACGGTTCATTGTTTCTATTGTAGATGGAATACTGCAATTTTAGAACGCGTTATGGTTACAGAATGGTTATATTTCAGAATTATTACACATCCCTGCTATAAGTAACGGCACTGCTCCGTTCATATACAAGAGGGAAAAAACCCCACCCTGGTAATGCAGCTATCTCTATCTGGATCAGCTGGTGCAGTCAGGCTGATAGCACAGAACAGCTACGCCATTAATCACCCCGAATCTGAAGCATCGGATAGACAGAAGCACTCCTATGACTGAAGCTTGTAACCTTTTAGGGGTAATAGGCACAGATGAACTAGTCCAAAAAAATCGTAACTGACGCATTTATGTTTTCTTACGTATCAAACAGTTGTTTTCAAAATTACTTTGTCATGTAGTAAAACAAATAAAATTCCCTTTAAGTATCCAGCATCAGATGTTTGTCTAATCTCAAGAGGAATTAATTTAACAAGTCTTAAATATTTGAAAATGGAATTTATAATGACAATCCTCAATATCCAAAGTAAATGTAGTTATTATTGAACTCAGTTATAAACACATCTAAGAAATATCCTGTAATACCCAAATAAATTAATTTGGCAAACAATGCAATATCTTGGGACTCAGAATTTATATCAATAGCAAACAGAGTCTGGAACAGGAGCTTTTATTTTAACTCTCTTTACAACAACCTTCAGAAACCAGTTTCTGTATGTGTTACAGTCTCTTTTTACAGTTTAACCTCAATCCAATCAGCAGTCTCCAGGGACTTTCAAATCGCTAAAGATTAAAATCCTCTCTGACTTGACTGTTTGACTAATGCTGTGTGTTTAATAATTCTACTTGTGAGAGATTTTATTTGACAAAATCCTGCTGTGTGGACCCTTCAGACACTATACAGCTGTACTAGAATATAAAGCTCTGCTGTCCTTGTTTCTTTATACAGACTATACCCCACCACTGAGAAAAAAAAAGAAAACTTTAGAGTACATATATTACTATGTTGATATTAGCATAACCACTGTAGTATTAAATTTACACAGTCTTTTAGAACAGAGTAGTGAAAATGTGCCTATTACACAAACATTAGATAAACTATCCCGTTGTCTTGACTGTTCACAGAAATCAATTACATTTATGATTACATTTCAATGAAAGCTATTTTATAAATGAGATGGAACTGTCATATTCTATGCTTTAGGCATTCATTAATAAAAGCATTTCAGTGTTAGTATTTGCAAATGTTCTGCTTTTTAGTTTGGGCAATTTTTTGCATTCTATAGCTCATGTTAAACTTAATGTAAATATTGTGTTTGTATCTTACCACAATGCCGTGACTTCAGATTTGAGTGGTAAGAGGGAAAAAAAAAAAAGTCATCATTATGGTAGCTTTCAGTAAGTATTTGTGTAAGACAGCACTTACCCTATGTGCAGCGGAAAATCAGGATATCCTTTTAAGTATATGGCAATGGTTAGTAAACACGTTACCAGACAAAAAGAGACAAGATTGATGAATGCCACGAATATCAAAGAAAACATGACATCAACATGTTTCTACCTGAGGTAGCATCAATCACTGTCGAAACTCCTCTGCGGTCAGAAACTGGACGCGATGAGCCTGGCATGCTAACAGGTTCTGAACGAACCGGCTGGATCCTACAAAACAAGTTATAGTTACCACCTGTGTCAAAAGCATTGCTTCTTAATTGCTGTAATTAAATCACAAACCTGAATCAGCTGAACCAATTAAACAACTATTTATTTTTAAATCAGGCAGCTGGTGAAAACTTTTGTTTTGTTTTCCTTTCCTTTGTGGAGCCAAGATCTGGATAATCCATCCAGAAGCAGACTGAGACTCTACACAAAGTGTGTATCCCCAAACTCTCAGAAAGCCTCAAAAGAATAAGCTCACTCTACCCGAACCAGTCAAAAAGCCTCTACTGCCCTCCTGAACAGCACCCCTTTCTTTGTCAGTTTAGGAGAAAAAACACATTTGTAATTGTCTATTCCTTTTGTAACATAAAACTATATTTATTTATTTTTTACATTTCTTCTTTCTTTCTGCACATGTATACATATATACAATAAAAAAATATATTTGACAGCTATATCCTTACTTGTGGGAGTAATTACAGGCAAGGAGAAATCACACATTTCAAAACCATGTAGTTTCAATCCAAGGACAATCTGCCCAGTTTTAATGGGATTAGTCATATTATCCATCTCTCTTGTCTTACTCATAGGAGTTTCAGACAGAGGCTCAAACAATCCAAGTCCATACCACAGAACTTTGGACTTCAAATCACATGCAGAGTCAGAAGCATGGAAACTTGTTAAATCTTGAGAGTTACCGGACAGGACGCAGAAACACATTGTGCAGAAAGCACTTCTACAAAATCACTAGCTATCAGTAAATATAAACCCACATTTACCTTCGCTCTCCTTCCCTCCCTTCCTGAGGCCCACCCCTTGCCCCCAATTCCAAATCAGCCAATGTCCAAAACCAGATGAATTAAATACATGAAAAAGAATCACAAGGAAGGAAGCAAAGGAAAGGAAAAAAAACCCAAAAAACAGGGAGGGGAAAAAACATTCCAAAAGTTCACTTACTGTTCCAACACACTGACCGCTTCACAGTCAGCATCTAAATCTATGGCATAAAGCTCCCACTCACATCTGAGAAAATGAATTTATTAAGCAATGCAGAAACCGTGAAAACCAAGACGTTGCTGAGCAAGGCCACTGGCCTTTGCACTGTCTTTCCCTGCCATTTGCACAAGAAGGGGCAGCAAAAAGGAATCTAAGCTGTTCGGCCTGGATGAATTTTTATTGCTGTCAAGTCTCATGCTCTTCTAAGACTTTCATCTGGACAAGCTTGATGAAAACTATTACAGGTTCTACACAGATGGCCTCATTTAAGCATGAGGCAAGTTATTCACACAACAAATTTGAAACAGCTTGGAAATTGATTTTATTTTTACCTGAGACTGTTGAGATCAAGATCATCTGTGTCAAAGTCCAGAAGAGGCTGCGGGGTATCGCTCGGACCATGCGACTGCAGCACTGAGGAACTGGATGAGATGACGGTAGTTTGGCCTGAGGGATGGATCGTTTTGAACTGGAACTGTGGGCCCATCCACAGGCGTCGATGCGGCCCAGTGTGAGTCACTATTTCGACCTGTGGGAGATGGGGAAATGCTTAACAAAAACCTGCAATATACCGAATGGTTCCTTCAATGCACTGAAACCCCAGAATCCTGCTGTTCTCACACAAAACGAGTGTGTTGTGCCATCCGTTTGGAGGAACACAAGGGAAGATTCGAAATGCCTTTGCTGGAGAGCAATGCTCTAGCCAAAGCCAAGAGCTTCTTTTGGAGCCCCGAAAGCCCTTGAACCAGAAGCTTGAGGACACCACACCCTGGTTCTGAAACTGTTCTGAAGACCAACACTCCACCCTGGCTATCATTTCACCCGACCCTGTTCGTTCCTCCCCTTGCCATCCTGAAATACACGCTATAGCCTGAACACTAAAAACCTACTCTTGTTGTGCAACAAACAGGGGAGCACATTTCCATCTGCATCTACACAGAGCAGACAGAGGAACTGAAAAAGTCTACCTCCCCCAGATAACCTCGATCCTGACCAGGTCAATGGATGCACTTTTTAAAAGCAAGCTGTTACAGCTTTGTTAGGGCTGCTTTCTAAAAGTTCACACATTCAACAGCACTGCTTCACATGTATACAGTGCAAACTGTATTTCAAATCAAAGCTCATAATTACTGTTGGCATATCTGAGGATACCACTGGCAGAGACCATCTTGCTGGAAAGCAACAGGATTTGTAACGGAGAGCGATGTGAAGTGCGCTGAGACACCCAGCAGCTCAGGTCACGCTCGTTACTATGCAGATGGAACATAAATGTGTGTGCAACGCATGGAGTTTAGAAGGGCAGCTACAAACACGTATCTATTTCTTTAACCCAAACTCTGACAATTAAAACAGAAGTAAAGGTGTTTGCTTGCAATGAACAACCCCAAGCGTACTATGTAATAGGTGTATACGAGATATGTATCTGTACGCATGGTTATGTGTAGACACACGCAGACACACAGGAGCTTCTCAGTTCCATGCCCACTTCCAAAAGGCAGAGAGAATACAGATGGTGTGTCTAACAAAAAATAATTTCAAATATTCAGATTTTCCTCCAGCAAGAGTCTAAACATGAACTTTCAAAAAATAAGGTATTTCAGTAAGTGAAGCATTCAAAATATTTTATAAATGTCTTTTCATGCTGATAACTATAAACTGGATGAGTATCAATTCTGGCAAACTCTTAAATAAGCCAACTACAGGAACGCAAACAACCGTGAAAATGTAAGATGGTAACATTGTTGGAAACATATGATCAGGTAAATCGGGCCTTGTAAATAAAAGGGTGAACAAAGCATAAGTTTTCTGTAATACAATTTTAAAAATCAAAAAGAGCCTTTAAAGATCAGAAAAAGGAAATATGAAATGAAAATATTAAGCTCAGGTGAACTCATACTTTTAAGATGACAAAAATAGACTATTAAATTCCTATCAACTTCTGCTAAAACAATGATCAGCCTCACAGCAAAAATGTAATTCAGTGAGGAAATTAATGAAAATATATTTTTGTATATATATGAAAAAGACATGTACTAGTAGCAATTCTTAACTATTTGAGAAGCAATTTTAAACCCTGGATAACGTTGTTGCAAGTTCTCTGCTAACGTGAGACAACAAATGCACAGCCTATTTAGCACTATTTCCATCTTTGTATTTATTTTAGTGTAACTCAGATTGACTATAGACGTTTGAGGCAAGTAGCTTTTATGTAGCAGTGTAAATTAGGCCACAGATAAAGTAATCTGTATATTTTAAGCTTGAAACCATCAGTGTCACAGAGCCGAGAGGTAAACAGATGCCTTTGCAATTTTACTGAGGCTACGGCCAGATGTTCCTATTCACTCTCCTGTTGTGTGCAGGACAAACATATTGTATCTACTTCACACTGACAGCACACATTACCCACTGTTCTAATTGAAAAGTTGAAGTGAAGGGCAGTGTTTTTTCACTGCATGCTGTTACTGTTGATAACAACACTTTAATTTTGAAAAACATACTTGCACTTTAGGCTTAATCTGAAGTGGCTTGCTTAGAGAATGCTAGCATCTTCGTGCTCAAAAGAGCTATCATCACCCTTTTCACTTAGCAAAAATTAAAACATTCCGGAAGCATTCTCTGAATTATCCGTGTTGCGTGACATCACTTGGGATTTTTTTTTTTCTTATATTTACCCTTCTAGAGGGACAGATGTGATGAAGCTGAAGCAGTCTTAAGTTCCTTTGACATTTTGTATCTTCCAGGAATTAGTAATTAAACCAACTCTCTTTTTCCTGAGGTTGCCCACTAAACCAGAAAGTCACCAGGAGAGTAAAATAAACCATCCAAAGAGTTCTGGAGAGGATAGGTGGAAAACTATGGGTGAAATCTTGGCCCCAACGAGCTCAGTGATAAAATTCCTGTTCACAACATTGATTGAGTAGTTTCACCATCTTTATGCTCTGACAAATTAGAGACAGCGTAAGCAAATAAGATACATCAATGTGGAGCCACATCTGAAAACTCAGGCTGGGTAAGTGGATTCACATGAATAGTTTCCCCAATGAATGGTGCTCCCAGACAGGTATGTATGGAAACCTAACTTCTCATTTTAGGAAAATGCTGTGTATGATTTATTTACCAGTGGGAGAAGCAAATCACATCCATGAATATTTCATAGTTATGCCATACACCCCAGCAACACATTTAATGCATCACTCCCATAACAACACTGTTCTTAAACCAAAGGAAACCCACCTAATTTGTCAGTTTGAATTCCATGTATCAGGTACCCTGTAATTGCTTTGGTAAATCCAGAGCATTTGTAATTCTTATTTATTTATTTAACCCTTTATTTCTTACAGGAACTAATTCTCAGTGTATTATTCATGACCTACATTCTTAAACTAAAGTTATGTTTTGAGCCGAAGAGTCAAGTATGTACTGAGTTCTTAAAGAGAAGCTTCATTGACTGAAGTAAAGCAGTAAAACTGCAAAGACTTAACCTCATATAAAAATGTTCCACCAAGCAGGATCAGTTTAAAGCACTATAGTATTTGTATCTAGCCATAACTCAGGAATTATCAGCAGGGAATGCAGTAACTGATAACCAGAAGGAGAAGGAAGTAAACCAGTTAATCTACCACTTTTACGATAAAATGCAGTAAGTATAGCACAGGTCACCACTGAAAAAGCATCGCCATTTTGCCAAGCCAGCTTCCTTTATCTATGTCTGAAAAGGCCCATGTCAGGAGAAAAAGGTAGAGAGGTAACTTTCTGTGCCAACTTAAACTTCCTGCTTCATCCTCAACTTCCCAAGATGTGACTTGTGCCAGTAATGGTGGGGGCTTTATATGGGTTTTAACATAGCTTGTATAGTTTGTATAAACCATAAAGACCACCAAATTCATACCACGTTAAGTCAGGAGTGAAGTCAGTTTTACACACAGCGATGCCCATGGCCTACAGGAAGCTTACTCTCCATTTTGAGGAAAGTTGCGAATTTTACTTCCAGTGGATGCTGTTACTGTTTCACTCCTGAACTGGAACGCCCTCAAAAGGCATACCTGTGAAAGCCACTCTTCGTCTTCTTGCCCGCTGTGGTCAGACGCTAAACTGTCGTATGACTCGTGTCGAGTGATCGGTCCAGGGCTCCCTGGTGGAACCACTGAAAAAAACCAAAATCAAAAAATCAGATTTACTGTTAAATGCTTTTAGAAAGAGCTTTTTCAGTCAGTTATCGGTACAGCAATGTATATATTTTCCTTAATCTGTGACAATACGTTGGAGCACAGAAAGACCTCAAATGTCGACATCAAAAGTCATGAAAAGATTTCTGTTCTTTGAGTTGAATGTATACGTACAGCTGCTATGATAACGCAATTGGCTCTTCCTCTTTTAACTTTAAGTACTTAATGAACATACAGACCAGCCCAATACAGATGACAACCATCTGTCCTGAGGAATTTAACACTGAGAAATGCCGCTGTCAATGACGTCAGCCTGTTCTACAAACTTTTCAGAATTTGAACTATGCTAAAGCACACTGACACAAGCTATCCTGAGGCACCGGTACACGTACTGACTTTGAATGCACAATACTTCCAAGGCTTCATGAACTGAATTGTCATTTTGACATTAATATAGTTAATTTAAAGCTGGCTTCACAAACGACTTGATTTTTAGGATGTGACTTCTTTTGCAATTTGATTGGAAGTGCTTCATTATCATCTTAGTGTCACCTTTTCATTACAGTAGCAATAATATATTCCTTAGGAATCTATAACAAACCAGAGTTTGATATTTAATTTGCCACAAACACTAAATACGGAGATTATTTCACTGGACTGCAAAATATCAGAAATTCTGTATTCAAGTGTGGCATTGCATTGTAGTAATACTGTATAATAATTTTGGACAGATAAGAAAAACACTTTTTTCAGCTGCAGGTGACACCGATAACTAGAAAGATGTCTTTGTTCAAGCCGAAGGATGAATTCATCCATGGTTATTAAAAACAACAATCCAGACACAACCTCCAAACTCCCGGATGTTGGAGCATCTGCTTCCAGAGATCCGGAGCTGGATAAATTTTTGGTTTGACTCAACGTCAGATCTGTCCACAGTGCTCATCACCAAACCTTTTCTTGACAGCACCATGAAAATCTTACATTACTATAACTGCTTAAATACTTAAGTGCCTACTGTTTTGAAAAGACTGGTGCAAACAAATAACCTCAATTCACAAAGCAAAACCAAGTTAATTTTGTTCCTCTATTGACTACACATTCGTCTTCATATGGACTCACTGCAACAGAAAAACACAGGTTCTTCAGCTCAGTGGACCGCATGATACCCAAACCCACTCTTAAAGCGATTACCATATATACATACGACTGTGAGGAAAATCGGAATTTAGTGTTCAAATGCTACCACGAAAAAGAAAGAGAATTGTAGACTCATTGTTGTAAAGATTAATTTAATTAATTTCATGATTCCGGGTCCCTGAGTCATTTAAATACGTTAGCAAAGCTTACAGTCTAGCTATGTTATTTTCTATGGCGGCAGCATTACGTTGCTCAAAATAAGATTTCACGCTTGAGAAAGCTGAAAGAGTTTCGAAAAAGCAACATGCAAGCAAGCACCCCAGACAATGAGACAGGTGGGATTTTTCATTTTCTTGTACCTGCTTACTGTCAGGGGCCAGTTGGAGGCCTGGATTCAATACCAAGAAACCATACCCACTTTGAGGGAAGAGCAGACACCACAAAAGCAAATTAAAAGAAGCAAATGCAACAATGGTATTTTTACTTTGGTAAAACAAGAGAGTTTTATGCTATAGCGTTAAGATACCAGACAATTCTAAAATTAGAACCAATATTTTTTATAATCACGTAATCTAAAAATGATGCAAAGTTTTTAAAATTGATTTTTAAAAACTTTATTATTACGGGCTTGACCTTTATGTGTCAAGTTTCCATCCACTACAAATTTTTACAGCCCTGTTGTAAACCCCTAATAATAGGAGTTTATAACGGCGAAGCAGACACAATGTAACCATAAATACAGAATGGCGCCTCTACAATATAAACAGCAGAGGGTTTTCATAAATCCATACACAATATGAAATAAAGGGATTTTCATCCTGTTTGTGTAAGTGGGTATCTGAACCCAACCTCAGCTACAGAGGCATTTCTAACACCTCCGTATCGCAGCGCAAACTTATTCTGAAACCTGCAATACACCAAATTCAGTCCAGGCCCTAACCTATTACAGAATTACTTAAAGTGCTAGATACATTAGGACATACTCTTACCAAGTGTCAAGCTTTCCCCACGAGGTATTATGCATCTGCCATATTCCTGGAAATCAATACAATTTGTGCCTGCACCTACGTGTACGTGCACACCTCAGCAACCACAGATGTTATTTCAGCATTGTGTGTTCATCAGTTCTCAAGGTAATATAGAAACTACGTTCATCTGCTTCATTACAACCGTGACAGATCTAATTCGATGACTCATGGATGTGTCTGTCTAGCCCGTATCAAACTCGTGTTAAGAAAATACTGGATTACAAACAGCTGACGATTCACAGTAAATACCTGAATAGGAAACCATAAAGCCCACCCTTCTTCTTTACCGCTACAGTTTATATTTAAAACCCACAAAACAAAACCATTATTTTGACACGTTTTGCTGTTGCCCTAACCTTCCCCATATCTCCTGACTCCCCTCCAATAAATTCTACTGACTGCAGTAATGCCTGTTTCTGAGGGCACAGCTGATCAACTGCAGGCTTTCCTGTTATTGAACTCCGCTAACAAACTGTTCATGACTCTAGCAGATGTTTTTGCTTTCAAACCAACGGGAACTTTATGGACTGTTCTGAATTTTTTTTTGTTCTTTCTATCCCAGGGGCAACTACTAGAGCTGTCAAGATTAGGGAAGCTGCTATTCAGTGACTAGCTGCAAAAACACTAGCCTGGGGAGCAGCATCCATCCTGCTCCCTCACCGTATTTCTCCCTTGCGTAATACTCTTACATTCCACTGGAGATTCAAGACGGCATTACAGTGAAAAAAGAAATTCAAATTTCAGAATGGTTTTGGTCCTATGCCTTTTCCTGAGGAATCACAGCTTTGCGTAGGTCTTGCAATAACACACATTTCAGAGCGCAGCATTAACTCTTTCTACCAAAAAGTGACGACATGCTGAATTCCACGAAAAAGCTCTGCCTTAGAGTTCACCAGCAGGGCAACAGTGATAAAGCCTTAGCTGAGGTCAAACCTCAGTAATTTATTTTGCTATTTAATAAAACAGCATTTATGTACCACACCTATCACAAAAGCAGGCATTTAAAGAGAGTCTGGTTTTGATAGCAGGATCCCGTAACGATGGTCCCAGCCTTACCAGAGGCAAAGCAAGCTCTACTCCCACTGCCCTTACTCGGAGCACGCGGTGTTTGGTGAGATACGACCTTGTAAGACAAGTGATCCTTGCTGGAGATCTGCCATTGCGGTACTGCTTATTACAGATATACATATGGTCTTTTTTTTTTTTTTTTTTAAGTTAAAAATGGCCTTGAAGTTATAGGAACAAATATGTTCTAAAAAAATAAAACCGATTCTTTCTTCGTTTCTGAGTCACACACCTCTGGCACTGGTATCGAGTTCCAAGATGAGACTAATTTAAGCCCGGAGGGACATTTTTAGGAATTTGAGCTCAAAAGTCATGTTTTATCTTCCAGCTTAACTCTTTGAAAATCTGAATTCATGCTGGAAATTACACATCAGTGAAACTATTCTTATAGTTTCCAATTTCCAAAGAATTTCACTACAATGCAGGATAGCAAATAATAAAATTTAAATTCTTCAAAAGCTTTACAGCAAGTAGTGATTTTCCTTGCACTCCTGTAATTTCTCTTTCATGAGGAAAAACTCAGAAATGGCACACACACACACCCAGAGACAAGGAGCAAGCAAGCCCTTGTTGCACAGAGATATTTTACTGGCAATTGCAGGTGTTTTGAACCTTCCTAAAAGAATAAATTCAATGTTTGTGTCTGAGCTATGTCAATTTTTAGCTTTTTGCTATTCTTACAGCAATATCTGAAACAAACATATATGAAATATCAGAACACAACTGAGTTTGTTTAATCCAGAAATACACAAACATGCACAAATTTGTACACTTACCTGTGGAGCAAAAAAGTACAAAGAAAATGAGTGTTAATTAAAAATTAAGGTGAGAATTAGAACATACAACTTCTGTTTATCCAGTATAACAGGACATGAGTTTCTAAAGTCTGTTTATAAATGCAAAAAACGCCATAAGGAAACATTCAAGGTCACTTTTTAAAAACCGCAGTGCTACCTATAGCAAAAATCAGAGCTTTGCCATAAATATTTGGCAAGGGGCAAAAACCATCTTTGAGCTGCTCAAAAATAATAGCAGCAACTTTAATCTCTGTCCTCCTTCAAGTGACAAGTGATCTGCATCAACTCTAAATCTGGAATATGTCCCTGTCCCTCCATCCTGACTAGCTGTACCGAACCACTCCACATTTAACTAAGGAAAACCAGAATCTCAGCAAAACCTGTTTTTCTTCATCTTCTTTCATGACTTGAACACCGTCATCTCATTTTCTACCCACAAAATCAAAGGTGCAGGTGCTTACCCATAATCTAAGGGCAAGTTTTTAAAGTTTACACCTCCCTTCTCTGCAGTTACAGTATTAATCTTACTACTATATTGAAGAAAGATTATTAAAGGCAAGGGTCCGAAAGAAACACATTACAAATTTAGTTATTCGTGTGATAATTGTTAGTGCCAGGAAAACCGCACAGAAGTGACTGTGGAGACAAAAGTTTCAACACAAGCCAAACCAAAGGCTGAAATACAGCTGAGCTGATCTTCCTCTGGAACTCCAGGACGCGATTCACACAGTTCAATGATTAAGTATGAAAAACCCCCCATTGTTCTGAAACTTTGCCATGATATTCAGTGACAAATAAAGAAAACTAACAATTTCTATTACCCTCAAATAATTTGCATAGGCATTCCTGACACGTGAGCAAGACCTGGACAAATATACATACTTGACGAATATTGGAATTAACAAACAGTGGTTTTGTTCATAGATGGGCTAATTATACAATAAATACCTA